CTGATTAATATAGTTAAGCCTTTAAATGTCACTTTGAATACTAGTATCTTAAAAAATATTTAGTAAGTCAGTGTTTCCTCTAGGATTTTTTCCAGCTCTGGCGGCAGGCCTTTTTTTTTTTACACAGATCTACCAACTACCTGTGGCGTTAATATTTCCATCACAAATGTCGTGAGCGCAGTATTAGAAGTATAATGTAATAGCCAAGAGAATGCGAATCTCTGTGCTTGCGCGCCGATTTCCTCTGCTCGTGCACAAAACTTCTTGCATGCCTCCTCAAATTTAAGCCGTTTTAAGAGCGCGCAGATCTTCATGTGCGCTCTCAAATAAACGCTGCTGGGTGCGATTTAGTGCGTTTATGTAACGAGTATGTCTCCAGCATTTATTAGATTTGCTAGGAATATTTATAAATGTCTCCAATAGTCATACATTAATGCATTAATGCGTCTTGAAGTAAAGTGAAACGGCTATACATCGTGTTTGCTGGTCTCACGCATCACGCACCTGTCAGTCAGTCAGTCAGCACGTCACCTTAAAGGGTAAACAAATGACGCACAGCACTACTACGGTTACAGAAAAGTTAGCGCCATTATAATTCAACTACCCTTTAATGCGTTTTGGTGCGATTATTACCCGCTATTAAAAAAATAAAAGGTTTCGAATGAGAAGCTGTAATGAATTTTGGCGTGGCGCCCCGCCATGGACGAATGAATGTAGCGGAAACCATGTAAGTTAGTTTAGTTTTTTTTGTTTAAAACTTTATTATTCCCCTTGGGGCAATTCGTTTCGACATGGTGGTGCTTCACATACACTATAACAAGAATGACACACTTAACACAATAAACATCAACACTTAACAACAGGTACAAAAAAAAAAACAAATAATAGTCCATCGATTAACTACATTTATTACATAACCTAATTGCTTCAGGCACAAAAGTAAATTTACAACGATTTGTGGAACATCTTATTGTCCTTAGACGTCGACCAACGGGTATCCACTCAAGATGTTTATTTAATGGATGTGTTCTGTCTCCTAGTATTTTATGTGCCATCCTTAACACCTGCTGTTCGTAATAGTATGCAAGACTTCGCAGGGGAACTCCCAAAATCTTTGAACACAAATTAACGATGCCTTGAAGACGATTCTTGTTTTTTTATAGACAGTGAAGAAAACCAGCAAATAAAGGAAAAGGACAAAATACTTTCAATAAATGAATCGTAAAAGGTCTTAAGAATAACTCTATACATTAAAAGAGTTGAGTTTCCGCAATAATTCCGTCTTTGATGAGCCTAATTAACAATTGTATGTGTATTTTAATCAAATTTCAACATGTTGTTAATGACTGTTTCTTGGTACCTAGGTTCCTCCACAACCTCTACCATGTGCTTAATGCTAGAATCATGCTAACAACATGCTTATTCATACTAGAATCATGCTAACAGCATGCTTATTCATACTGAAATCAGGTTAGTTACATGCCAAGTCATGCTAGAGTCATGCTATTAACATGCTAATTGATAGAATCATGCTTACAACATGCTTATTCATACTAGAATCATGCTAACAACATGCTTATTCATACTAGAATCATGCTAACAGCATGCTTATTCATACTGTAATCAGGCTAGTTACATGCTAAGTCATGCTAGAATCATGCTATCAACATGCTAATTGATAGAATCATGCTTACAACATGCTAATTCATACTAGAATCATGCTAACAGCATGCTTATTCATACTAGAATCATGCTAACAGCATGCTTATTCATACTGAAATCAGGCTAGTTACATGCCAAGTCATGCTAGAGTCATGCTATCAACATGCTAATTGATAGAATCATGCTTACAACATGCTAATTCATACTAAAATCATGCTAACAGCATGCTTATTCATACTGAAATCAGGCTAGTTACATGCCAAGTCATGCTAGAGTCATGCTATCAACATGCTAATTGATAGAATCATGCTTACAGCATGCTAATTTATGCTAGAAGCATGCTAATAACATGCTAATTCATGATAAAATCATGCTAATATCATGCTAGAATCATGCTAACAACATGCTAATTCATGTTAGGCTGGCTTGTTTCAGTTTTTACAGTGGTTGGATTGTTGACTGCAGGGATATTAAACATTATTTTAGCCAGCTTGATACTTTTTCAAATTAAATAATCTACTTCTAACAGGCTTTCTCAAGCCACCATAAAGTTTGTCCTCAAATGTTTATATCTAGTTCTGACCTCAACTGCATTTGGGATCAAAATGATGAACATCACATGGCGGGATTCACCATTGTTTAGTCTATTGATGTTTTGGCTCTGCTGATAGGCTGTGAAGTGCACAGTATTGACAGCAGAGCTTTCCTGAATGCGCCGCCTATTTATTGCATAAGCTCCACCACCAGTGAGTCGCGTTACATCCTCTGGTATTCCTGATTGAGTGCTAACAAACCAAAATGCACATTGATTATTTCAGCAAACTGAAGGATCGAGTAGCACATATAATTAGCTATGGGACGACCAAGAGTGTATCTCATACCCTGTACATCGGTGGACAAATCATGGTTTTGTCTTTAAATATTTATTCAAAAACTCTCAAGGGCACCTGTTCCTAATAGTTCTTGCCTAATGCTTCTTCATGCGCTGAGCTCTTGAAGGACTCCTGTTTTGCATCTATAACAGCGGTCCGAATGCTCATGGGATCATCTGGGATTATTGACGCATCGTTAAACATCTCACAAATACTCAGCGCTAATGCTAACTTCTCTCGTTTATCTACTAATAACACTGCTGCACATGAGTAAGTTAGTATTTGTTTTACTCTTCACCACCGTCTTTAACTAGTCGTTACACCTAGTTAGTTGGTCTTTCTCTGTAGAGATTATTATTGTAATAGTTAATTCTCATAAAAAGTATGCTCTAGATCAAGGGTCACCAATCTCGGTCCTGGAGGGCTGTTGTCCCTGCAGGGTTTAGCTCCAACTTGCCTCAACACACCTGCCTTGATGTTTCAAGTATACCTAGTAAAGCTGCCGACACTGCAATTTTCTCCCATAGACTTCCATTCATACTTACACGAATGCGTCAGACCGGAAACGCAAAGTCTTGTGACAATTTTCGCAGTTCGCTATATTGGAAAGTTCAAGCTTGGTAACTTCCCTGCTGAAAATCCAGCTTAAACCAGCCTAGGCTGGTTGCAGCTGGATTTTTCAGCAGGAATCTGACCAGCAAAATTGCATCATATGATGGCATGAGACCAATCAAAGACCAAAACATGACCTGTCTGGATCATCTTGTTTAATCCCGCCCCTTTTCGCAGCGCCATACAACAGAATTTCGCAAGCTCAAACTCTAGTCTGACCGCAGACCTTTTTAAGCTTTTTCAGGTGTGTTTGATTACGGTCGGAGCTAAAATCTGCAGGACACCGGCCCTCCAGGAACAAGTTCGGTGAAACTTGCTCTAGAACAAACTTGGTTCTAGAGGGTCGGTGTTTTGCAGATTTTAGCTTCAACTTGCCTCAACACACCTGCAAAGACATTTTTAAAAGCCTTGTAAGAGCTTCATTAGCGAGTACAGGTGTGTCAGCCCTCGAGGACAGCGTTTGGGCACCGCCTATCTAGGGAATGTTGTTTGTACTTCTGATTCGTTTCATCATGTCAAATAATCCTTTAGTTCTAATATAAGTCATGTTTTTTGTAGGATTTATTTCGATAGTCAAGTTTTATCAACAGGAAAAATTTGTTAAATTCACTTGTTAAGTGTGACATCACGCGAAGTGGCTTCCGAGTCCAATCACTCTGTCAAACTGTATGGGGAGGCTCAACAAATAGACCACTTGTACATTCAGGAAGTGTTCAGGAAAAGCAAAACACCAGCGAAGAGACTTGACACACAGGAACATTAACACCTTACTGCCAACTAGCATTTCGGAAGTGTTAATGCAGACCAACAGAGCATAAAGCAGAAGTATAAATGCACAGCTACGCGCGTTGCATGCGCCGTGGGTTACGCCGGTCACTTGACGCAGAAGTATACACCAGGCTTTATCAAGCGGATGAGTAAAACAACATCAGAGTTACAATGTAAAAAGCAATTAGATATATTAAATAAGCAAGTAAACTCGCCTTAAAAGGGACAAGTTGACTTTACATAAAGTAAGTAAAACCATTGTAACTTTGAACTATGAATTTCTAGAATTACTGTATGCACCGTTTATTTATGTTATAGTATGTATATATATAGACATAAGGCCATGTGAGTGATAGATTGATTTCAGGACCCTGTATATTTACATACAAACCCATTAATCCATTTATTCACCTTGATGATTTGTGCATGAGACAATATTCCTAAAATATCTGTTGTGTATATGTATTTGTACTTTATATCTTGTAGAACCATTTGAATGAATATGTAAATTTAACTTGTGACCGTTATATGGGTCACATTATATGAGTAAGAAGGTTTCATTAGTTAATTTAGTAACATGGACTAATGATGAACAGTACTTGTACAACATTTATTAATCATAGTTCAACATTTGTTGATGCACAAACATCCACATTCATGCTTGTTAATACTAGTTAACACACCATGCGTCATATGTTTTACGCAGCAGATGCCCTTCTAGCCACAACCCCTCCTTTTCACTCACATACACTACGGCCAGTTTAGTTCATCCAATTCACCTATAGCGCATGTGTTTGGTCTGTGAGGGAAATCGGAGCACCCGAAGGAAACCCACGCCAGCATAGGGAGAACATGCAAACTCCACACAGAAATGCCAACTGGCCTAGTTGGGACTCGAACCAGCAACCTTGTTGCTGTTTGGCAACAGTGCTAACCACTGAGTCATCAAGCCTCCCCAATATGTTTTATTCAAATAATTTAAAGTCCCTCGAACTGTGCGCACAACAGGCTAATGTGGCAAATGGTGAAGCAGCAGGTTTGTCAGGTGGTTGTCTGGACGAGCTCTGAGCTTTTCTTTTGCTCCAGCAGGGATGTGAAGGCAGAAAGCGGACGCCAGCGACACCCCTCAGGTGGCATGAGTGCCAAGGAGATGGTGATTGGCCTGGAGGGGGTTGAACTGGGTGCAGATGGCAAGGTGAGTCCACACATTTTTCTTTCTTTCTTTCTTTCTTTCTTTCTTTCTTTCTTTCTTTCTTTCTTTCTTTCTTTCTTTCTTTCTTTCTTTCTTTCTTTCTTTCTTTCTTTCTTTCTTTCTTTCTTTCTTTCTTTCTTTCTTTCTTTCTTTTTCTGTCTTTCTTTCTTTTCCCTCCTTTCCTTCCTTTATTTATTTCCTTTTCTTCTTTCCTTTCTTTCTTTTCCTTCTTTCCTTTCTTCCTTCTTTCTTTCCTTCCTTCCTTCCTTCCTTCATTCAGTCCTGCCTTCCTTCCTTCATCATCCAAAACAACAACACCAGCCACATGAATACACTGGACAGTCAAGTAGCAGATATATCCGCACCTGTTCGATTGTTTTTAAATGCTTTTCATTGGATATTACGTCATTGAATGCAACTACGCATGACTTTACAGAGAGCTTACGACCTACTAACTATGGCTTGCCTTAAGAACATGTGATGCAACCGAAGTCAGAACAAATTTAAAAAACTAAGTCTAGTGTGGACTTTGCATTTCCGTTAAGGATAGAACTTACCAACAGCTTGTGCCACATTTTTTTTACACATTAAACTGTCAGTCACTGGATATTTTGTCGTCTTCTGACTAGGTTTGTCGCGATACTGGAATTCGATACCAATCGATACTGAATTTTGTAAATCGTCCATTTCCAACATTTGAGCGCTGTTAAGCGCGTTGTTAAACAGCGCTGACTTGCCATTGTGTTTAAATGCTCAACAGAAATGATTGTAATTGGTCGTGAAGGTCATCAATTCACTGAACACACCACTGTTTAATGAGAGTGTAAACACAGACACGGACACTGGACACAGGAACATACAGTCTTGGAGAAAGTTTTTTTCTGTTATCATAAATGCAACATGCAGTTCCAGTTGTGACTGAATGAAGAATGATCGACAAGAAGCGCTGAACTGAACATGACACATTTGAATATTCGTTTGTGCTTCACTTTATGATTTCAGAACATTTGGGATATAGTAGCCTACATGACAACTTTCTAGTGACTTATAATAGACTACCTTCATGGCTTAGGTGGTTTATAAACATAGAATATAGTCACAAGATTTGGATTTGGATCGATGCCGATACCCGATTCAGCAAAAATATGCGGTATCGAACCGATATCCGATCCAAGTATCGGGATCGGTGCATCCCTAGTTGCAGGTTTGTGGCTTCCTTCAAAATATCATCATTCGTGTTTAACAGAAAATTGAAAGGTGAGTGAATGATGACAGAATTACATTATTTGGTTGAACTATACCTTTAATAAGGTCATCATTGAGTGCAGATGAGTGTTATGGTCACTTTTTAGTGATGTATCTGTAATCATGTTGAATATACTAACAATGTTTCTGTCAATCTCTTTGCAGACGGTGTCATATGCACAGTTTCTGTATCCCACCAATGTCCTGGGCCGTCGAAACACCATCGACTCCACGTCGTCTTTCTCTCAGTCTCGTAACGCCAGCCATCGCAGCCTCATTCTGGCTCGTGCCAACAGTAACCAGAGTAGCCTTGACACAGGTGCGTTTGCCAACAGCTTGTCATGGCTCTTTCATTTTCTCTCAGTCTCCTTAATATGGCCTGACAAGGGGCCGCTTGTTTGGTTTTAATGAGTATTTTGGTAGGACCTCAGTTTAATGATATGTTATTTATTTTGCTGGTTTAAGCAAGGTCATGACTTTCTCAGGGCTCTCAAGTTTTATCAGAAGTCTGGAGTTTAAACCAAATGTCAAATCCCCTGACTAACAAGCTGAATTTCCATGACTTATAATGAATACTTGTGTTCCTTCAGAATTTAGCGATTCTGTGATCACTGAATTTAATGCATAATTAAGTAAATGGTGCAAAATTTAGAGCCCAGTCACCAGACATGAACATTATTGAGCATGTCTGGGGTAAGATGAAGGAGGAGGCATTGAAGATGAATCTTGATGAACTCGGGAAGTCCTGCAAGAACGCTTTCTTTGCCATTCCAGATGACTTTATTAATCAGTGATTTGAGTCATTGCAGAGATGTATGGGTGCAGTCCGCCACGCTCATGATCATATTTTATTTTGGGGGATGTCTAGGTGTTGGGGGTGAGGTGTCTGAATAACATAGATAAGCAACTGTACTATGCATCGGGGTTCATCGTTCCTGCGTTAGGATACTATACCAATGACTAAATGTACTAATGACTAAATGTAAATGTAAATATACCAAAGCTGGCGATCCGGGGCTGTTACAGACTGTACCAAAAAGCTGAGGACCCGGGGGGAGGGGTAAAACTACTGAAGTTTTCCGGGAGAAATAACAAAACGGGAGGGTGGCGTGGGATGGGTCTAAAATACAGGAGACTTCCGGAAAAAACAGGAGTGTTGGCAGATATGCAAGAGAGTCCTCACTGCAGCCCGCAGCTTGATGACATACTGGACCAGGTCCACTACTTATTGCCTACTCCTCCCCCAACTCTAAACCCAACTGTAAAAGTAGCATGGGCATTACCTTAGTAGGTAGTACAATGTCCACTTCGTATTGAACCTGGTTCAGTATGTCATCGTGATACAGACTGCAGCGAGGACATCTTGCTCGGGACACCAACAACAAACACTACGTCATAATCATGCCTTTACAAGAGCAAGCTCCTGATTGGTTAACACAGCGTGAATGTCCACGAATGAAGTTCAGATTTTCCATCTAGAGCGATTCGTTCGATTCGCTTGTCACGCATGAATTGCATGAGTCGCGTCTTTACTTTGACTTAACATGTAAATCACTTGCGCTTGATGCTTCATCCGCATATGATGTGAACGCACCATTAGACTCCTTCATTTGTATATTTGCTCTATTTATTTCTGCTTGGAATTTGTTTGTTATATTGTATGCACTCCCCTACAAAATCAACCCAATCGATCTAAAGTTATTAAGTTATCTAATAGTTATGTTGTCTTATCAAAATAAGTTCTCTAATAGAAAATTTAAATTTCGCAATGTACTTTTCTTTTTTTCCAATATCATCCAGTTCTAGTGTGTGTGCCTTCATGTTGCTTAGTAATGAATGTACTTACAGCAGGATCACATGTTTTACCCTCTTTTATATTCACAGGGAATGAACTGGGAGATTTCAGGGAGTACGACCCAAATCTTCTGGATGACCCACAGTGGCCATGTGGAAAACACAAAAGAGTGCTGATCTTTCCCTCATACATGGTGAGTTATAACATTTGCAGAAATTAGTTTCAAATATCTATTTATTGAAAAAAAGGCTGTTTTCTTGCTTAAGACAGAGGTTTAGGAGTTGATGTTGATGAAGCAGAAGGAAAATTAATTTGATAAATTATGGAAATATTGTGGCTGAAAAAGCTGGTTGTTCTTAATTTGCCTTAAGATTAGCTGTTAAATAAGGATTTGCTTAATTACCCTAATTTTAACCTAATTAACCTAATTATGGTTTTAAATGTCACCTTAAAGGTTCACATAACCCTAAAGTATTATTTTTTTTTGAGATCTTTACAGATTTGTGTGTGTTGAGCATCAGTTAAAGGGTCACGAAACACCAAAACACATTTTTTGAGCTGTTGACAGCCGTATATGTGTCCCACACTGCTAAAAACACTATTAGGACACCTATATTTCACTAAAAAGTGTAAATTGGTTGCATTTGCGTTATTTTAAGCAAATTCGTACTTCTGGTTTGAAACGAATTTTTGAAGCTGCTTCACGGTCATGACATAATAGCCTGTATTCCAGCGTGCAGACTGGACGTCTGTGCCAGAGTGTGTCTTATTACGTCTTACAGTGTGCTGCATTAATGCATGAGTAAAGCTTGGTTCAAACCAATCAGCGCGCTCTATTGTGCAACTTCATTAATATTCATTACTGCCGACTGTTTAGACGGCAGAGACGCAACGTTGTGTTGGCAAAACAAGCGTGAAGTGTTGCTTTTATAGTTTGCTGCCGTTAAGTTTTGTTTTCATTTTCTCTCTGTGAGAGCTCAGCTGGAGTCACGTGTGGATTAACAGTGTACGCGACGCTCGACAACAATAACTTACGTGTTTAAGGAGGATTATTGTTTACCTGAGAGCTGTTCTCATCTGCAAACGCTGAGATCCGGATTCGCTTGTAGTCTTCTCTTCATAAAGACGCGGCTCTAGTTGTTGGTGATTGTCCTGTCTCTACAGATTTGGTAAGTGAGCGACCAGCGCTCTTTGTTTATTCAGTTTGTTCGTATCGAACTAAGTTAACTATTGCACCGAGTGTAAACATGTTAGCACTACAACCAAACTTTAACCTCGAGTAGGGTTTTTACCGCATTTTGTGACCGGAATAACACACGCGGCTTTCTGACACTACCTGCTGTGTGCATCTAAGTTTCCGGAAAATGCAGAGTTTTTTTTTTCTCTCATTCGCCGTGCGGTATCAAACATTGCATGAAAAATACACGCTTGCAGCAGTTCCTCGAATCAAATATCTCGTTTGTCGCGAGGGACATGAATGAATTCCCTAAATGAAAGAGCCAAACTGCAGTTAAAGTCCTCCATTTAATAATTTGGCAAATAATTCGACTACAGATGTCCATGTAAACACAGTCACTTTGTCCCCTGTGTGTGTGTGTGTGTGTGTGTGTGTGTGTGTGTTTTGACTCGGAAAGTCAGCGCGCCCAAATAGACACTTCCACACCAAGCCTCTTTTCTTCCTCCGACACTCCCCCTAAACAGAGCTGGACACGCCCACTTTTCTGACTTTTTCCAAAGTAGAGGTGTGAAAACACCCTGCTGAAACGAGGGGGTTTCATGGCCCTTTAAAACAATGTGAGCACCTGTCAGCTTTAATTGTGGGGAAAACTGGATAATTTTGAGCTTTTGTCAGCTAATTTCAGCTTCCGAATCGAAATTGGCATCGTAGCGCTGAACTGCAAGTGCAAAGATGACGCGTCGATTTCTCATTATTTTTCATAGTGGAAAAATAGCCGGCTTCTTAATTATTCATGAGAGCACATGCTTTCCGAAGGCACAGACCTGCCAGTGCCAAGCCCAAGCTGTGAGACACAGACCCACGGCACTCAGTATTTAGCCGTTCATGAAGGGTCGTATGTGTTTGTTTTCATGATCCACGTGGTTTGTTGCATGTTTTTCCCCACGATCCTGTCAGTGTCAATCATACAGCAAAGCTGTTTGTGTGCAGCAAGCATTTTTGTCGGGAGAGCGGTACGAGAATTGGAGAATGGCGGACGTTGTCTTTTATCAGGAGTTCGTTCACATTTAGACACATCGCCGTGCTGCTGTGTTTGCCTAAATCCTCCAGATTACTAACAGGGCTATTGGTTCAAATAGACAGGGTAAGAGACCTGCTGCACTGAGTCTGCATTCAGACCCGGGGATTGAGGGAAAATTCCTCATTTGTAGTGTTTATATGAACACGATTACCTATATAATGATATAAATTGTGGTTGTGTGTGTATGAAATTAGGAATAACAGATGTAGCAGCGTGTTAAATTACTGTTTATTTCTTTGCATTTGAACTTTGTAAACTATAAAATCACGCATCTCCTCACAGTTTGTGTCTCATTTTGTGAGCCGACTGACAACAGTTGTTCGCTCCCCACCTTCTCCCCTGCTGGCCACGCCCACTCCTGCCCTTTGCTCGCGGAGCTCCACGCCCATTATGATGCATCTTTTGAAAAAATTCTGAGGTAGACCTGAACCGAAAGTGGGGGGGTTTCATGACCCTTTAAGCTGAATGCTAGTATCTTGAAGAAAATCTAGTAAAATATTATGCACTGTCATCATGGCAAAGATAAAAGAAATCAGTTATTAAAACTATCATGTTTAGAAAAAATTATTCTCTCAGTTAAACAGAAATAGTGAGAAAAATATACAGGTGGGCTAATAATTCTGACTTTTACTGTATAATACATAAAGTGATATTTTGTTTTTGTTACATCATGAACTTGAGTCTCTAGTCGTTAGTTAATTAGTAATGAACTTTGCACAGCAGAAATACCAGACTGGTGGCCTTGAAACATAAGAATCGTCTGTGTTCTGAAATCTGACATTGTGCACAGCGTCACTCTGACTGCATGAAGTCTTCGCTTTTATTTTTTCATTATTGTTCACTGAGAGTGATTTTATCATGTTTACTTAACAGAAGACTCGCTGTTCATTTCCTATTGGGCTCTGTTATTGTTTTTGCATTGTATGGTAGACATGTACTTGAACTCAGACTCGCAGACAGTCCAGGAGACGGCCTTCCCCTTCCTTCTCTTGGTTATTTAACACTTGTAACAATTGCTATTGTGTTCTAGCAGGGAAAGTTACCAGTGAGAATGCATAAAGGAATTGCCATGCAGTTCTCATGCACACTATGTCAGACTGAAAATCCCCAGACATTTGTATTATGTTGTATGTATCAAGTGAATATGACAATAATGATCTGTTATTTCATTATTATTATTATTTTATTTAAAGTTTGGAAGTTATGATTATTGATAGCACCTAACTGTAAACATTTGGGTGTAAAAGTAACAGATAACCGATAACAGACCCTAAAAAAATGCAAACCCATCCACAATAACACCCCAACTATCCCTAAACTCCTAAATCTGTTCATTCAGAGCAGGTTAATTGTAAATATATACAGTTGAAACAGTAATATGGGGTACGGATTTGGCATAAAATAAAAAAATCTTGATTCATTGAACATTTTAACTCTATTACAATTAATGAACGATTATTTTATTTAATATAATTATAATTATTTTTGCCCTCATAGTTCACTGACAGGTTTTGTACAGTACATATGCCCACATATTACAAGTGAGAGATTGTTGAATAAAGGATGCGTTACTTGATTTTAAAATAATTGAAGGAAACAAACGCTATCTATGATTATTTATTGAACATCAGTGCTGAACAACTGTCATTAAAACACACATTGCCTTAAAGGAAAATTAAATAACTTGCACTTTTGGAAACAAAATAATAGATGCATCGTATAAATGGACGACTACGTGCAAGGCTTGTGCCGTGGGTCACGCCAATCACTCAACGCAGAAGAATAAAACAGTCTCAATGGCACCCACTCTCGTCACCAATACCAAGCCGACCAATCACAGAGATTGCGCTACGTGTTGTCGGAATGTGTAGTAAAACTTTTTTTTGAGGTGCACAGGTATGTGACCGCGCGAAGACTGCCGACCATTAACAGAGCGGGGTCATGTGACTCCACAAATGGTAGGGACAGTAATCGAAAAAAAAGGACCTCGAAAAATCAGTTGATTATAGGCTCTGAATGTTAAATACTTTTCAATTAATTGCCCAGGTCTAATATGGAGGTAAAAAAAAGAAACCTACAAACGATGCAAATAAATGTTTTAGCCTATTAAAATGAATGGCCTGAATCACGCTTCAGGTCTCTCCATACCACTACCAGTGTGCAGCATCCACTTGGATGATATGACAGCAGCCACAGGACAACGGCGCCTGTCCGCTCACCACACACCAGCTATAGGGGGAGCGGAGAGACATTGACACAGCTAATTTGGTGGATAGGGTTGGGTACTGAAACCTGGTGCCATTAAAGCACCCGCACATTTGTAACCGGTATGTACCGGACCGAATCAGCATATGAATTTCGATGCCACTGGTGCTGCGACAAGGACGTAAGAAGCATCAAGGGGTGCATCAAAGGCACACATAGGTACGCGTTGTCACACCATCTCTAAACATTTCATTCTAAACAACTTAGAGGAATATGGACAGGCGATGTCAGGCGTTTGTTCTTGTTGCTTAGAGAACGAACGGACGCATGCAACACGCACAGTACAGGGCATTCGGTGTGCGGGAGCGACTCTTCAGATAAACACGCATGATCGCGTTCATCAAGTTTGCTTAAACTAAGCGTTCTAAAGCGTATTTTACAAGCATGATCCTGATACAGCAAAAATTCTGTGTAAGGAGGAAACACGTCAAACTTAATGACACATTTGAGGACTCATGAAATCAACTTAAAGGCAGAGGAATGCACTGTCTCTGAAAGCTGGCCACATCATCTGGCACTTTCAGTGAGTACGTCCATGGACACCAATGCTCCAATTTTAATATGATAAAGACAATACTCTGATTAAGAGTCTAGACTACCATGTAAACCGTGATTTTTGATTACCTTAAAGGACCACAGACATCTGTGTTGTGAAATGCGGTTTTAAATTCCACTAAATGAGCACTCTTCCACCAGTCCTTACTTAATGCTCGCATCAAATACCTCAGTTTGTCATGGGGGCATGAATGAAATGTTCCTGAATGAAAGTGAAACTGCAGTTAAAGTCGAAAAATTTAAAATTAAACACCTAAAATTACATGAAGCTCTGAAGGAAACATGGATAGCATGGTGACGCGATGACTTTAATCGATCTACTGTAACTGCTATAACATGTAAGACAGGATCATGAAAGGAACATTCAAAAAGTAACTCATGTAAACACCCGACTCGTATTATTGCCTTATTCAGATTAAGACAAATCATTAGATTGCTGATAACCATGTAAACATAGTCATAAGCGGAGTTCAGTATTTTGATGAAAGCCTTTCCACAGGTTAGTAGTAAGCTAATGTAATTTCATAATGCAAATCTTAAATTCATGCTAACCAACACATGATCTAAGGAAATATATTAATGTAATTCAAATGTATAAAATATGAATTGATGTTTACTTTAAGCTGTAATTATATTGTTCTATTCAAATTATTTTTTTTTTTAAAAGATTTTGTCAAATTAAAGATTTTTCTAGATTCATCCACCATAATTTTGTGGCTCAAAAGTATCGGTTCAGGCACCGTTACCGTTTTAAAAGTTTTGATTTAACACTGGTATCGAAATAACCCCAAACAATACCCGACCCAGTTCAGGAGAAGTGCCATGGGATTTTTAATGACCACAGAGAGTCAGGACCACGGTTTAACATCTCATCAAAGACGGCACCGACTGACATTATAGTGTCTCCTTCACCATACTGGGCCATTAGGACTATATGTTGAGTGACCCTTGTGGCTTCACTAACACCACTTCCAACAGCAACCTAGTTTTCCCATGTGGTCTCCCATCCAGCTACTGACCAGGCTCAGCCCTACTTAGCTTCAGTGAGTAACCAGTCTTGGACTGCAGGGTGATATGGCTGCAATGAGAAAACACAAAGAGCATGCCAAAGAGAAAACCAAAACATGCTTTGAACCTGGCCAAATATTTCAGTGACCCAGAGAAACACAGTGGCTCTTTCATCTGTGTGAAAATGTTTGTGCTCATATGTGTATTTGACATCAGGTCTCAATAAATATTCTCACTTCTTTACAGACCACGGTCATCGAGTACGTCAAACCCTCTGATCTGAAGAAGGACATGAACGAGACCTTCAAGGAGAAGTTCCCACACATTCGTCTGACACTGAGCAAAATCAGAAGGTAAGGAAGTCAATGCGCAGGAAAGATGTCTAATGCTCTTTTGAATAAGTCTTTGATGTCCCTATAGTGTGTGTGTGTGTGTGTGGAGTTTCAGCTCAAAATACTGCACAAATAATGTTTTATAACTCTTTAAAACTGACCCTTTTAGGCCGTAATGGTCTAATTGTGGTGTTTTGGTGACTGTCGCTTTAAATTCAAATGAGATTTTGCTCTTTTTAAAAGAGGGCGGAGCTACAAATGCCTATGTGTCAGCATAGTGGCAGATTAAAACTCTAATGGCGGATGGCTGCTTCTCACTCAGGGCTGCTGTTTATGCTAATGATGGAGAAATAATCACTAATGGGCGGGGCTTTCCCCCTCTGATGACACGTATAAAGGGAGAATGTCAATCGAAGTGTTTCTACAGCCTCTTTTTATTAAGTGTGATTATAAAAAATTGATTTAATTAATTTTTACCATTAAAGACTAGCTATATTCACACACTGCTGCCACACAAATGTGTTTAAAAAGTGATTTTTACATAATACGCCCCCCTTAAAGTGACAACTCATCTAACAATTACAAAAATAAAACATTTAGTAACACTCCAGCGGTTCTCTTTCTTCTATTGAACACAAAGCAAGATATTCTGAAGAATATGAACACCCCCAACATTTTTTTTTTTTTTTTTTTTAAACTTTTGTTTTTTATTCGTTTTAACATAACGGAACAAACAGATCACCAGAGGCATCACATACAATTATTACATTCTTCTTATACAGTCGTTTTTATAGTACAGGTTACTCTCCCATCAGCCCCCACCCTAACCCGTCAGTAAAAGGTACTGTGTTATAAGCATAAACACCAACATAGTTTCCTTCAAGTCCATATGATTCAGTCTTTTACAATCTGTAATGTGCGGTCCAAACAAAATATTTCACATATATAATATACATATATATGTACATATATTGAAAAAAATAATAATAATAAAAATAAAAAATATAAATAAATATAAATAAGGGGAGGAGGGGGGTTCGCACTCATTGCAAAGCATTTCCTAGCAAATTATATATTTTCTATATTCTTATATATAAACCATTTTGACCAATTTTTATAGCATTTATCCATGTTTAGTCTTAAAGAAAAGGTGAGTTTCTCCATTTCAAACATATTATCTACAATTGTTATCCACTCATCCTTTGTTGGTGGAATCTCTTCCAACCATTTCTTGGTTATTGCTTTTTTACTAGCAACTAATAGTATTTTGAGAAGGTATTTGTCTTGTGCATTAAAATCGGTTTGTATATTTCCTAAATATATAGTACCAAAGCTATGATCAATCTCAAAACCCAGTATTGATTCAACCCAACATTTTTTTTTAAAGTGACTAAGGCTGTATTATATTACTTTCAGGGCTTTACATTAACACCCGCCCAAATGAGGGTAGATTTCAGCTTTGGCGGGTTGGACAGACAATCCCACTAGCCACTTTGGCTGGTTGAAAATAATTTTTAAATTTTAGTTTTCCTAAAAGCAGAGTTCGACAATTTAAGGATGACCCAATATGCATGCTAATGTGATCTTGGAATCGAGAAGTAAAATAATTGTGATCACGCGAGCAGAAGAAAGCAAGTGAATACCGAATGAGAGAACAGCTGATGTGATGCGCGCGACTTCTTAAAACGCGCACCGGTCGCTTTCACTTTGAACAGATTATTAAATTGCCTATAGTTAACCGTGTACATGTGATCATCCTTTCATTATCACACACGGTATGTTTCACCTGCTTTCATTTGCATACGGTTTTCTGTGCTTTCATTTTTGTTATAATTGTTTAATTATCTTTTTTTACATTATTGCTTTAATGGGAGATGAACTCTCCATTTATTTGCAGTTAACTGGTGATCCAAGAGATCTTAGCCAGGACAGATTACCGTGATTATTTTTGATACATGACAATAGTTATTTTTTAAAAGTCAATTGCTTTTCGTTCTTTTTTAAGAAATGTTTTGTTAAATAAAAAGTATAGTATACAGCTATATTTTGCTTGTTTTGACACATTAAAAATTTGTGGCTAAGAAATAATTATTGTTTCGTGTGGTTATAGAGATAAATTTGGTAAATCGTTGTTTTTGAGCTCTAAAAAAAGTCATGTGAAATCAAAACTAATTGCAGTATAACACTGTGAAACCATGACTCCTTTGCTCATGCTCATTGAGCAAGCCCATACTCGACACACAAAAAGTGAAATGAATGAGGACGCATGTGGACATAACACACAATTTAAATCAAGTAATTTTAGCATGTCGACATCAAATTTATGCATATAAAATAAATTTTCCCAACAACAAAATTTTGGCTTGTGAAAATGCAGAGTGGCTAGTAACATTAGAAAACTACTAGCCACAGTGACTGGTGATTAATAAAGTTAATGTAAAGCCCTGATTACTTTTAAAAATAAATTTCCTCAACATTGAAAATCAAGCTGATACTTTGTTGATTATGTCGCTTTCTACATATTCTACAACTTTTGAAGCTTTATTATTCAGGTTTTCAGTCAAGATTGAACTCTTAACACAGGTCTTTCTGCTATTCAGAGTCCAAAGTTGACCAAACCAATGGCTGATTTATACCCATGCTGCAAGCGTGAGTGCGCAAAGTCCAGAAAAACTTGAACAAAGCAGTTTGTCAATAATAAAACATGTTGATTTCTGCTGGGCTGCTAAATAAGAAAGTTTAGAATGATAACAGAAATGATGTCAGGAGTTTTAGTAAATAGTTTCCGGTTGATTCAGTCTTTTTGCACAAAATCACAAGACAAGCCTTTTAAATTACGTGTCTTTAAGTGCAGTAAATAATGGGTCAAAGCTGATTTATACTTTGGTGCAGCTTTTGTGCGGTTGCAGACCCCTCGCCATGGCTGACGCTGATGCGCACCTCTCAAAAAATGGAACTACACATCGCAACGACACATAGCACAAGCTCTGTGATTGGTCGGCTTGGTTGTGGTGACGAGTGTGGGCGGCGCTGAGAGCTGCAAGCCTGATGGAGCGAGTGTTTACAAGTGTGGAGTCCCGAGCTTCAGATGGAGACTTTTTGTTTTGTGTTTACCTTCTGATTAAATTTGTTGCACATCTGCCGGTTTCCACCTCTGAATGAGCAAGTTTTAGCTACTTGTACTATAAGGTAGCATTAAAAAAAATAAAACCCCCGCAAAGGAACTCGACACAGAGGAACACAAAAACCTACTGCCAGCTAGAGTTTCAGAAGTGTTATTGCAGAGCCGATCACTCAACGCAGAAGTATAAATGGCTTTTTTATCTAAAATTTGGACATTTTTGTTTTTAGTGACACCAGTGGCCATTGAGTGAACTGCAGCCAGCAAATTTTTTGCTAGCTCACTTTCTCTCTTGAGCTTGTGATTTATTGCCCATTAAATTCATGGCAAAGTTCCTATTAGTTTTTCACTTAAATGTAAATAGAAGCTTGAAATGCCTTTTCATTGATTATAATAATAATTATAACTAATAATAATAGCACTCTTTCCTGGCAAAAAATAAACACACAGGAAAAATGACAAAAGTGAGAAAGCATCAGTTTAAAAAAAGTCTGTTCAAATCAGTATGAATATGTTTGCACAAACTCAAGACATCACAGGTTCATGAACGCATTATCATGCTAATCTTTATTTACAAGTAGCATCTCAAAGCTCTTTGCATGCATATAAACACTATAGAAGTAAAAACATACATACAAGAAAACTAGACAAAAACATAGCCAAGATAATAAAAACAAAGACATTTTGTTAACAGTTGAGGAGGTTAAAAAGGACACTGTTATGACAGTTTGACCCTCAAGAGTGCGCACAAACGTCACACCAATTAGATTTTCCCAGCATAAACACTCCAAGATAAAACAAATCAGTGTACAAGTTTTCATAAATAACCTTAGAAGGCTCTCTGAATGATTGTGAGTTTAAGTTACTTTTACTGTAGCATCGTATGCATTTCCAACGTAATCTCAAAATGCCAGCAAAGAAACTCGACACAGTCAGACAGAAACCCCATTGATTATTACATTTTAGAAGTACAGCAACAGACTGAAAAGCAGAAGCATACTGTAAATACTCACAATGTTGTCAGCCATGTGCCATCACTAGTCGTTAAAATTGTATAAATTGGGCTTCCAGTTGAATACATCAAATTGACTGTGCCAAAAAATTAAAAATAGTGTTGGGTAACTAGAGTATAGAGCCAGATCAGTCTCAAAAATGATATGTTTACAAAATAAAATTCATGCACAATTCACATTCACAAAATTTATTTTGTAACACAATTTGGAAATACACAAATCCCATTAGAAAATTCAAAACAACTCATAAATAAACAAAACACAATTCAAAAACACAAAATAATTTTTTTTAATTTAAAACACAATCCATTAATATGCTAATTTTATTTGGACATTCAAAACACAAATCGTAAATACACAAATCCAATTTTTAAATTCAAAACACGATTCGAAAATATGCAAATCCAATTCGTAAATTCAAAACACGATTCATAAATACACAAATTTAATTAGTAAATTCAAAACATGACTCATAAATGTGCAATTCTAATTCGTAAATTTAAAACCCAATTCATAAATACACAAATTCAATTTGTAAATTTAAAACACAATTCAGAAATATGCAAATCCAATTCATAAACTTAAAACAATTCTTAAATACACAAATCCAATTCATAAATTCAAAACACAATTCGTAATTATGCAAATCCAATTCGTGATTTAAAACATGATTCATAAATACACAAATCCAATTCATAAATTCAAAACACAATTCGTAAATATGCAAATCCAATTCATAAACTTAAAACAATTCGTAAATATGAAAATCCAATTGGTAATTTAAAACATGATTTATAAATACACAAATCCAATTCGTAAATATAAAACACAATTCGTAAATATGCAAATCCAATTCATAAATTCAAAACATAATTCATGAATATGCAAATCCAATTCATAAATTTAAAATATAATTCTTAAATACAAAAATCCAATTCATAAATTCAAAGAACAATTCGTAAATATGCAAATCCAATTCATAAACCTAAAACAATTCGTAAATATGCAAATCCAATTCATGAACTTAAAACAATTCGTAAATATGCAAATCCAATTGGTAATTTAAAACATGATTTATAAATACACAAATCCAATTCGTAAATATAAAACACAATTCGTAAATATGCAAATCCAATTCATAAATTCAAAACATAATTCATGAATATGCAAATCCAATTCATAAATTTAAAATATAATTCTTAAATACAAAAATCCAATTCATAAATTCAAAACACAATTCGTAAATATGCAAATCCAATTCATAAACCTAAAACAATTCGTAAATATGCAAATCCAATTCGTAATTTAAAACATGATTCATAAATACACAAATCCAATTCGTAAATATAAAACACAATTCGTAAATATGCAAATCCAATTCATAAATTCAAAACATAATTCATAAATATGCAAATCCAATTCGCTAATTTAAAACACAATTGTAAACTCAAAAAAAAATTATAAATCTGCAAAATGAAGTTTATGAATTTAAAACCCAATTCATAAATAAGCAAATCCAATTCACAAATTCAAAACACAATTCATGAATACGTGAAATGCGTTTCTTTTCGGCTTAGTCCCTTTATTAATCTGGGGTCGCCACTGCGGAATTAACCGCTAATTTATCCAGCATATGCTTTACGCAGCGGATGCTAAATTCAAAACTAAATTTTTTAATTCAATACTCACTCATAAATCTGATTCATTTGTGGAATTATGTATGATTTTTACTTGTGAATTCACACATTGTGTTTTTAATTTATGAATTGGATTTGTGCATTTATGAATTGTGTTTTGACTTTACCAATTGGATTGTGTAAATGTGAATTGTGCGACTTTTGTTTTGCAAATGTATTCTTCTTGAGACCATATCTGGCTCCATACTAGAGCATTGAGTTGAGTATGTGGCATTGTGTTTGGTGTTGTAGCCTGAAGAGAGAGATCCGGAAACTCACCCAGGAGGAGTTCGGCTATGAGGAGTCTACAGTGGCCATGGCCTTTGTTTACTTCGAGAAGCTGGTGCTTCAGGGCAAACTCAACAAACAGAACCGCAAACTCTGCGCCGGAGCCTGTGTCCTCCTCGCAGCCAAGATTGGAGGAGACCTGAAGAAACATGAAGTCAAGCTCCTGATCGACGTAAGTTTATTTATATTGTTGTAGCATCGATAACGCATTTTGTCACCACACATGCAAATAACATGGAACACAACCGAAGGATTGCAAGGAGACGCAAAAACTGGCTGGGATTTGCTTATTGTGCAGAACAGAGACATTTTGAAGAATGTTGGAAACCTGTAACCATTGACTTTCATGGTATTTTTTTTTTTTGTACTGTAGTAGTCAATGGCTATCTATTCCTTCATTGAAACATTGTTTAAAATATTTTCTTCTGTGTTCAATAGCTTGAGTCATTTAAATCTGTAGAGTGTGAAACTGAGAAAAAGGACTTCATTCTAAACACTTAAACTGGAAATCTGGCAACCAGAAAAACAATTAAACTTACTCAAGAAAACTTGTCTATATGATTAAAGAGTAAATGTCTCATAAATAACAATAGCTCATTTTCGACAATAAATTAAAATAAAAAACCCTGTTGCGATAACCTGGATTTGGAACAAGTAAATATTAAAAATAAAATGTTAAATAATAAAACTGGAAATCTGGCAACCAGAAAAACAATTAAGCTAACTTGTGAATGTTCCATAAACGTCAATAGCTCAACACACAACAATGTGGACTTATCGCAATATCTAAATAATAAAACTGGAAATCTTTCCAACTAGAAAGTCAATTAAAGCTACTTAAGATAACTTGTTCATTTGATAGAAGAGCGAATGCCCCATGAATATCAATTGCTCATTTTCAGCCATAAACAAAAAAATATAACCACTTTGTGATAACGTGGCCTTGTCGCAACAAGTAAATACTAAAAATAAAATAATAATCTGGCAACCAGAAAAACTGTTAAACTAACTAGTGAATGTCCCAAAAATATCAATTGTTCATTGTTAACTATAAACAAAAAAAGTAGCCACGTGTTGCGACAATGTGGACTTGGTACATGTAAATAATAAAAATAAAATAATAAAACTGGAAATCTGGCAACTAGAAAAACAATGGAACTAACTCAAGATAAGATATTAATAGCTCATTGTTAGCCGCAAAAAAAAAAAAAAATGTAACCACATGTTGCGATAGCATGGACTTGGAACATGTAAATAGTAAAAATAAAATAATAAACTGGAAATCTGGCAACCAAGAAAATCAATTAAACTAATTAGTGAACGTATTTTATTTGGCCATAAAAAAGGTAACCACATGTTGCGACAACGAAGACTTGTTGCAACGTTAAATAATAAAAACAAAACAATGAAACTGGAAATCTGGCAACCAGAAAAACAATGCCACAAAAATATCAATAGCTCATTTTCAGCCATAAACAACAACAAAAAAATGTAACCACAAGTTGCCACAACGTGGAGTTGGAACATGTAAATAATAAAAATAAAATAATAAAACAAAATCTGGCAACTAGCACATATCAGCAGCTCATTTTTGGCCATAAACAAACTTTCTGCCTTTTGCACAGCAGTAAAATAGGCCCCCTGAGACTAAAATCAGACATTGTAGAGGGAAAAAAGGCATTCTTTAAATCTCAATAGGGTGTATTTTTAGACGTTCCGCTGTTGTGTAAGGGTTGTCTTCGATTACTGTTATGTAACGAAACCCCCTGATCTCTTTCCATCTAGAAACTGGAGGAGAGGTTTAGGGTGAACCGTCGAGAGCTGATCGCCTTCGAGTTCCCAGTTCTGGTGGCTCTAGAGTTCAACCTGCACCTCCCCGAGCACGAAGTCATGCCGCATTACAGACGCCTGCTGCAAAACTCCTAGCGACAGCCCCATCAGGAGAAGCCCAGCGTCTCTCCTGATCTCCCCCAGAAAAAAACCCTATGCACATCGCCAACGATCATCTCCAGATGTTGGAACGAAGACACTATTCCACTGTTCTCCTTTCGGCCAAAGTGACAGCTCTTTCGTTTTGACTTGAAGAAGCTACTTTCTAAAGGGAAGACCTCTTTCCTAGACTGTTGATTTTTCTCAGTTAACTGGGAACATTTGTTTTCCTGCTTGCAGGTGTTAGACATACTGAGGGTTCTGTCAGCATTTGATCGGCCCATGTTGTTCGAATAAGGTTGTTTTTTTTCTCGATGAAACACAAAAGTAGAAATCGCTGATGTTTTCAATACAGTGGCGAGCTACAAAAACGCGACAAAATTGGTCCGTTTGACCAGTGCTCTGTTCTGAAGCCGTAGTTTTTTTTTTAAGTAGAAGACTCAACGTTCATCCAAAAATGAAAAACACGCCAAACTTGTATCGCTTGGTTTTATATGCAAAACACGTTGAAATTCCGAAATATTGACCGTACAGTGTAAATAAAACCTTTTACAGAAAACAGTAGTGAACAAGTAGAGCTGCACGATATTGGAAAAATCTGACATTGCGATATAAAGTTTTTCTGTCATATGTACTGCGATATATTGCATCTATACAATTTCACCTAATAATTAAATAGCACTACTTGGAAAGAATTTATAGACACACTTTATTTTAAGCAGAGGGCTTAAAAAGGGCCGGTGTCCAGCAAAGTTTAGCTCCAAGCTCAATCAGAGACACCTGGGCTAGCCAATCAATCTCTTACTAGGCATTCTAGAAACGTCCTTGCAGTTGTGGCAAGTTGGAATAAAAATCTGCAGGACAGCGGCCCTCCAGGACAGAGTTTGGGCACCCCTCGTTTTAGGGCTCATTTTAAGAGACTGACTTTTTTTTTTTTTTAAGTCACGCTCCCGACAGGTATTATTCCGCACTCGACCCCTGGAGGGCCGGTGTCCAGCAAAGTTTAGCTCCAACCCCAATTGGACAAACCTGGACTAGCTAATCAAGCTCTTACCAGGCTTTCTAGAAACATCCTTGCAGGTATGTTGAGGCAAGTTTCAACTAAAATCTGCAGGACGCTGGCCCTTAAGGACTGAGTTTGGGCACCCCTGATTTTAAGGCTTACTTCCCGCTAGAGGTCTGCGCGGGACTGATTTTTTTAGTCCTGCTCCCGCCAGGTCTTATTTCACACCCAACCGCTTTCGCTGTGTATTTAGTCTTTATTCACCTACTGTACCCTTAGAATAATTTTCTACCCAACCCGACTATTCCCGCAAAATTTAGATCTGGTTGAATCCATACAATGGGTTTTTATGAGAAGGCTCGTTGCTCGCCAAATTTGTATCACTTTGTTTTATGTGCAGAACACATTTGTTGATATTCTGAAATATTGACCGTAAAGAACAAATAAAAACTTTTACCGAATACAGTAGTTAACAAGTAGAGCTGCACGATATTGGAAAAATCTGACATTGCGATATAAATTTTTTTAAGGCTTATTTTAAGGGACTGACTTTTTTTAAGTCACGCTCCTGCCAGGTATTATTCTGCACTCGACCCCTGGAGGGCCGGTGTCCAGCAAAGTTTAGCTCCCAGCCCAATCAGACACACCTAGGCTAGCTAATCAAGCTTTTACCAGGCTTTCTAGAAACATCCTTGCAGGTGTGTTAAGGAAAGTTTCAACTAAAAATTGCAGGACAGTGGCCCTCCAGGACTGAGTTTGGGCATCCCTGATTTTAAGCCTCATTTTAAGGGTCTGATTTTTTTTTTTTGTCCCGCTCCCGCCAGGTATTATTCCGCACTTGACCCCTGGAGGGCCGGTGTCCAGCAATGTTTTGTTCCAACCCCAATTGGAAAAACCTGGACTAGCTAATCAAGCTCTTTACCAGGCTTTCTAAAAACATCCTTGCAGGTATATTGAGGCAAGTTTGAACTAAAATCTGCAAGACACCAGTCCTCCAGAACTTTTTGGGCACCACCAAGGGTTTGGGCACCCCTGATTTTAAGGCTCCATTCCCGCTAGAGGTCTGCGCGGGACTGATTTTTTTAGTGCTGCTCCCGCCAGGTCTTATTCTACACCTAACCGCTTTTGCTGTATATTCAGTCTTTGTTCACCCGCTGCACACTTAGAATAATTTTCTACCCAACCCAACTATTCCCGCTAGAATGGGGGGGGGGGTAGCATGTGATAGACTGCGGGGGTAAGAAGGGTGCATGACCAGAAGGAACACGTGCGATTTCCGGGAGATTATCACTCGTTTGCGGGCATTTTGAGTCCCGCAAATGCATAGAGACAGGATGTCTGAATATCACGTTTAACAACTGTAGTGAGACGCAATCCAGTGGTACAATCTTTATTTGTACCGGGTTTATGATGGGGGCGGGGCAATGGATCGCGATGCTGGCTCAGCATTGTGTTGTCTATTGGCCATCGTCTATCGGCCCAACCCTAATGGGCGTTTTATTCGGAAATGTATTCTCGCGCTGCAAGAAATCTGGTATCCACCGGTACTGCAGACCACTAATTCCCGCGATTGGTCAACGATTAACTACGACTTTTCTTCAATAAACTTCTAATTTGGTCCTTGTTAATAGATATTAAGTTAGCTTAGCTATTGGGTAACATTTTGTAAATGTTCAAATTACCCTGCAAAGTTTTTGATGTATAAATAACTTAATACAATAATTTTTTATTAAACTTCCAATTGGCTAAATGTCTTGTGCCTGAATACTTGAACCTCTCTCAGGCCTTAAAAACATGCAAACAATACAATTTCCCTCCATTATGGTTAAACTCTGCAATGATTCAACAATTCTCATGTTCTGAACTGTGACTCTTGCTCAGATATAATCCCAACTCAGCATTGTATATCTACCGCATGCGATGTGAATATTGCGGATGCACACATTGCGATATCGATGCTGAAAGGATATATTGTGCAGCCCTTATTTGAAGTGATCAAAAAAGGTTCGTCAACACATGGTGTTGTTCAATAGTTTCAACTCAAAAGATAACAATTCACTTTAAATGTTGACTTCTGTATCTGAAAAAGAAAAGCAATACAAGTTTGGAACCGAATTTCGCCTTTAATAATCACTGTTGGAAGGTCTGTTGTGTTTCATGGGAAAATGAACAGTTGGAGCGATATCGAACAATACTTGACAAGGGCAAGTAAATGATGACAGAACATTGGTTTTCACATTCGTATGCCGACCAAGTTTGGACTGTTTGATTTCTGCATTCTTTCAGCAGATTATAGTATTTCTGTGTTATTAGTTTTTCCATTCACATCTACCTTAATTCCAAAGTTTGACACTCTGCCAAATCGGACGATCGCTCTCGGTTGAAAGCCTTAAAAAAAAAAAACGTTGAATGATCCTGAACTCTTGCAAGTTTGTGACTGTTTCTCGCCGACATTCTCATTTTGTACTACAAGTGCACTTTTCAGGCTATTGTGTGAATGGCAGAGCGTACACTACCTGACAGAAGTCTTGTCGTCGATCCCAGTTGTACGAGCAACAAATAATAACTTGACTTCTTGTTGATCATTTGGAAAAGTAGCAGAAGGTCGGCTTTTCTGATGAATCATCTGTTGAGCTGCATCCCAATCATCACAAATACTGCAGAAGACCTACTGGAACCCTCATGGAGCCAAGATTCTCACAGAAATCAGTCAAGTTTGGTAAAGGAAAAGAACATGGTTTGGGGTTACATTCAGTATGGGGGCGTGCGAGAGATCTGCAGAGTGGAAGGCAACATCAACAGCCTGAGGTATCAAGACATTTGTGCATTACAAACCACGGGAAAGGGCAAATTCTTCAGCAGGATAGCGCTCCTTCTCATACTTCAGCCTCCATGTCAAAGCTCCTGAAAGCAAAGAAGGTCAATTTGCTCTGGGATTGGCCAGCCCAGTCACCAGAAATGAACATTATTGAGCATGTCTGGGGTAAAATGGAGGAGGAGGCATTGAAGATGAATTAGCCACATCTGATAACAAACGATCAACTAGAAGTTATTATTTGTTGTTCCTAAAACCTGGATAGGCGACAATACTTTTCTTAGGTAGTGTACAGTGAGCTCTATGTTGAGGGGGTCTTCATCTCATTTAAATTAATTTCAGCCAGCATTTCCTCTGTTAGTGCAACCACCAAGCAAAAATATGTTGCAGACAGTAATGGCGGCGTCTCTCTAGTGGGACTTTTATACAGTTCTTAAGGGGTACATTTACGTACCGCTGTTGTTTTTTCTACCCTTGAGTGTTGATGATGACAGTTTTAGTGGTGTGGCTTGCTGCACTCATGGTTACCGTGTCCGTGCTCTATGTTAGAGTGGATTCTGAGCACATTTGTAGTGCTACACACTGTATGAAGCAACATCAGGTCATACCGCTGATAATCAACACTATTTGGCCGAACTGGGCCCAGAAGTGAAATCTGTATGACTAATATGCTACGGTGTTAACTAATGCATGTACACCAAAGCAGTGTTAAACTTGCGTTTGACTCGTACTTTTTAAAAGAAAACAAAATGTTTGATTTGATGGTTGTTTCGACTCCGTTTCCTTCGAACCTGAGACTTTCTATCACCGTCGGTGGTACAGAATTTTGTGTAAGCTGAATTTTATCTCACAAACTGTTTCTACATTCAGAATGATTATTATTTTTGAATGTGTGAAGTGTATTATGTTCACTATGCACTACTCGGTTCCATCAATCAGTTATAAGCATCTGTGAGAGATTAATGCTAATTTAAATCAGTTTAGAGAAAGAATAAACACTTCTAGATAAGTTTTGGCATTTAACCACTTAATTCTTTAATGAATAATGGATAGAATGTGAAGAGATAAAAAATAATAATAAAGAAAGAAGAAAGAACAAGATTTGGCCTTGTGAAATGCACTTTAGACTTTGTTAGCAAGTGACTGGGATGCCCGAAATCAATGAAACGTTTGTACAATGCTGATACATTTGTGTAAATATGCTGCTTTGCTTGTTCAATAAAAAAGCTAACATTTTAGGAACTGTTTTGTTTCCTTTCTATATTTCATTTCATGCAAGATGTGAAGAATTCAACAATAAATGACTGTGACTTAGGTGCTCTGTCAACGTTTAAATCTGCTTCATTTATAGAAACACAACAATGTTGCAATTTAAGTCATAGTAATGGGCATGCAGTGGCGGAGTGGGTTGCTGGTTCGAGCCTCAGCTCAGTTGACGTTGGTGCTCCGGTTTCCCCCATAGTCCAAAGACATGCGGTACAGGTGAATTGGGTAGGCTAAAGTGTGTGTGTGTGTACGTGATTTTGTGACATATCAGAACACAAATCTGTATAATGACATGGGTATGACACGGGTATTACAAAAAGGAGGTGAAATATGAGGACATTGGTGACGTCCTCATTTCTCAAAATGCTTATAAATCCTACAGAATGAGTTTAATCAGAGAGTAAAGCTGCACACAGTCTCCTGTGGTGGTAGGGTTTAGGGGTGGGGTGGGGTGAGGGCAATATAATATACGGTTTGGGCTGCATAAAATGAATGGAAACCTATGTAATGTCCCCACTTTTCACAAAAACAAACGTGTGTGTGCGTGCGTGGGTGGGTGCGTGCGTGTGTGTGTGTGTGTGTGTGTGTGAATGAGTGTGTGTGTGGATGTTTCCCAGAGATGGGTTGTGGCTGGAAGGGCATCTGCTGCGTAAAAACTTGCTGGATAAGTTGGCGGTTCATTCCGCTGTGGTGACCCTGGATTAATAAAGGCCACAAGAAAATGAATGAATGAAGTCATAGTAATAGTCATAGTGATAGTATTTGGGCTCTATTTTAATTATATAATTGCAAAGTCTAAAGCGCGTGTCTTAATGAGTTATGGGTGTGTTTTGAGCATAACCTGCTTTAAACCAAACAGAGTCTCATCTCTAATTCCCTTTAAGACTCAGTTGAGAGTGTCGCCTCTATGGACACGCCGGCCCTGACTAACATGCGAGTATTAATTTATTGTGTTATTGTACTCTTATCAGGCAGCACGGTGGCTCAGTAGTAAGCACTGTTGCCTCACAACATGAAGGTCACTGGTTTGAGTTCCAGCTGGGCCAGATGGAAATCCAGATGGGAATCGGATGAACTAAAGTGGTGTAAAACATATGCTGGAATAGTTGGCTGTTCATTCCACTGTGGCAACTCCTTATAGATAAGGGACTAAGCCGAGGGAAAATGAATGGACGTTATACTCTAATTTGTTGATGCTTTTTGTCCAGATTTTTTCAGTGTTTAATTAATTTGTTTAATTTAATTCATTGGTTGTAATCACAACAAGGTGATAAAAGAAATTAAGATAATTCTTTGTAGAAGCTGGCATAACAAATTAAATTGTAAAATTCTAATAGCCCTAAAAAAAAGGTAACACTTTATTTTGATGGTTCATTTGAGTATTAGTAGACTGCTCCTTTAACAGACGTTTAACTGACTATAAGAAACTTTGCTAGTACATGACAGCTTACACTAACCCTAACCCCAACCTAACAGTCTACTTATAATCTATTGAGAATTAGTTGCGATGTAACTTTAATTCAGCCAACGGATCATCATATTAAAGTGTGACCAAAAAAATAAAAGACCTGATTTATAAACATGGCATACACATAAAATGGGTGAAAATGTGCGAAAGCTTCCCACTTCCTGTGCAAAAGTTGATCTATATAATGCTCCGTCCCAATTCGCATACTATTGCTCTTAAATAGTATTTGAAAATAGAATTAATGTGTCCCAAACCGTATAGTATGTTGAGTATGTTCAAGGTTCCTGAATGGTTTACTGTGTAGAACCGTCCATACTCTAACCGCTAATATTGTCACTGCGTGTTGGACGTGAACTCGGTAAGAACTACAAACTCTGAGAAAAAAAGTGTAAACAAACTACAAACATGGCGGACGCGCGAGACCAAACGTCAAGAGGCTTCGGTAAAGTTGTTTGAATGACTAATTAATATCTCGCCAATTGAAAAAAATATATAGTCACATTTTCCTTCTTATATTCCATCTGCTGCAACAATGTGAACTTGTATAAATTAGTTTTGGACCTTACTTTCTGAAAACAGTTATCCAAACTCCTGAGAAGATTTATCAGCATGTATGTTTCGTGAATAGGAGATTAGCCTGCTTCTAAATTTCCAAAAAGGTAGGTTATTATTGTGCATTAGTAATTTACAAATACAGCATTACCAGGCAACAAACATTCCAAAGATAATTGAATAAGGTAGGAAATTACATATGACAGAAATATATGGATGACGTGTCGAGATGATTGACAGGGGATGTAACTAGCAACATAGCAGTCCTTTAATGAGCAGTAGTATGTGTTTGCATACTCTATTGTCACACACTCAAAAGTATACTTTTTCTTCACCAAAATGCTTTTAGGACGTGGTAAAAGTGTGCATATTGAGATGCAACATATTTCACTTAAATATTGACTTGATTGAACAACTTTAAACCATATGAGCCATAATCTTTATTAAATAAATCAGACCACAGGTCTAAAAGAAATGCTGTGTACTTTCATTCCTCACTGGGAAAGTATTGAAAAAAAAATGGAGAAGTTTCTTCAACATACACTTCTCGGTGATTTCTACATTTATGCTGACACTGTCGTCTTGCATCATCTCACGTCCTTCAGCCTCTCTCTCTACACACATTACAGTGAGAACACTCAAGGCTCTGTTTACTACACACTGTAGTCTCATTATCGCACTGTTTATCTGGACATGCGCTTCTCAACACCACAATCTCTAGCTCACCACACTCCTCTTCCTCCCACTATCAGGAACCACAATTAAGATCACTGCTTGATGAGAAAACTGTATTTTGCATTATTTGTAAGACCTTGAGAGTTCCTTACATAGAAGCTCCTTTAATGTTGGAATTTCAGGTACAGGTCCAAACTGCATCTTCTCACTTCTTGCTTTGTTTTATTGAGTCAATATACACTCACTGGCCACTTTATTAGGTACACCTTCCTAGTAGCGGGTTGGACCCCCTTTTGCCTTTAGAACTGCTTTAGACTTTCATGGCACAGATTCAACAAGGTACTGGAAATATTCCTCATAGACTTTGCTCCATATTGACATGATAGCATCACGGAGTTGCTGCAGATTTGTCAGCTGCACATGTGAATCTCCCGTTCCACCACATCCCAAAAGTGCTCTTTTAGATTGAGATCTGGTGACTGTGGAGGCCATTTGAGCACAGTGATTTAATTGTCATGTTCAAGAAACCAGTCTGTGATCATTGCCACCAGCCTGAACCACTTGAACAAGGCATGTTGGATCCATGCTTTCATGTTGTTAACGCCAAATTCTGACCCGACCATCCGA